TCGAACTTTTTCCGTAATTTGGTGGCGATAAACACAATAGTACCTGTTCACCGTAAAGTAGAAAAAAATCTAATCTTCTAGTTGTTTCAGGTGAATAAATTCCTCAAAGAAAGCTATGTAAACATGACCCTGTATCAAACTTATGCATCTCCTCCTTTCATATTTACCTCTATCAATATATTTGCGCGTCTAAAATCTGAATGATCTCGATTTTGTTGTAAGCGCATTGAAGTGTCTTCATTATTCTTGAGTCCCTCTAATTAGTAAGGGACTTCTGGCTGTGAAAGCGAAACTCAATATGGCCGCTAGACGACTTTGCATCTCCCACTCCTGTTAGCTTGCAACAGCTTCCGAGTTCACTTCAGAATGTGGCTTTTAAATCAGAAGTGGCAAGAGAGTGACGTCACTTTAGTAGTGAAAATCTCCAACACACTATTTTTGGAAGAATATCTTATAAAAATCTATATCATAGGAAAACTGGTAACTTTATGCGTTTACTTTCAATCTTCATTCCTTTTCCCTTTGACCATTAAAATCTGCGTTTGTACTTCAAGTGCTGCTATAAGCATCTGAAACGTGTTACAAAGAAAATCTAAGTGTAAAGCAAAGAAAAACCACATATTTGGTTACTTTTTATTTTTATTTCTATTTCCAATAAAGATTACCTTTCTGTGTCTGTCATATATTTCTCCAACTAGCTAAATTTTTCTTCCCAATCTTGAATGTTTTAGGTACACAGTGTCTCCCCCCCCTCTCTCTTTCTCTCTCACTCTCTCTCTCTCTTATTAAAAAATTCATTTAAATTGTCCTAATGTTTCTTTTGAATCTCACTTCCGCAGCCAATTCTCCTGTTGATGTATTAGGATTCGATTTAATCCCTTGACTTGAAATGAACTTTATCGATTTACAAATTAAACTAATTCAACTGACCGACAAAGAAAAAATTTCTGATCTATCGGTGCCTAAAAATATTGAATTTATTTTCTTTAATAATCATTACAACGGGTTTTATCTTAAAAAGCAACTTTACAATCATTTTTACCAGAAATGTTATTTTCAATCCCTAAGCACATTTACTTTTCCGTAAGCCATTTTAATTATTTGCGAATTGATATTTCCGATGTTTTCTTCCACATAATTGTTTTATCGGACGTTGTGTCAAATTTCAGTATATCAAGAGTGTTATTTTTGTTTAAATTTACAATTTTTTTAGTTGAAAATAAAATGTTACCTTTCTTCGTTGTTAGAATTGCTTTCAATTTTACTGAGTATCGTAGACGTAATTTTTTTTAAGAAATCTTTTTTTTTTAATGTACCTGATCTACAGTAGTTTATTTCCGCGTATATAAAATACATTTTTTGGAATGTCCATAATGCAAAATCATCCACTCACTGCTAGCAGGACGTTTGAAAGAAAATGTTTGAGAAAATGTTATTCACTGCAAATAAGGCTTTGGGAGAGGTGCGATATTTGAGATAATACTGCTCGCTACCAACAAAGCTTTGGTGGAGGGAAAAATATTTTCTTGTTGTTGAAAATGTCTATAACAAGAAAATGCCATATGACGACGCACTAAAAAAAAATGTGGATACACACAACAACTACAATAGACACCACCACAACCGAAACACAAAAACAGAAAAAGAAACATTATCTGATTTAACCCACCATACAACAAAACCGTCAAAACAAACATAAGAAGGACATTCCTAAACTTAATATAAAAGCACTTCCCTGCAACAAACCGATTAGCTAAAATACTCAACAAAAATAACGTTAAAATCACTTACAGCTGCACAAAAAATATGACACAAATAATAAAAAGCCACAACAAAAAGTAACAAACTTCAATAACACAACCAAGGAACCTCAATGCAACTGCAGAAATAAAACAACATGTCCACTCCAAGGAAACTGCCAACAAACGAGTATAATATATAAAGCCAAGATAAGTGCAAACAACAGCACAATGTACTATATCGGTGCCACTGAGAGACCATTCAAAAAAGGAAAAAACAACCACGAACTTTCATTCTCCGACAGAAAATACTCAAACAGCACTACACTATCCACATACATATGGCATCTAAAAGACAGAAATATTACACCAAGGAAATATTGAAAAACACTCCTGCCTACAACAACGTTACAAAGAAATGCCGACTTTGCCTACACAAAAAGGTAACAATAATTTATCATACTCAACAAAAGAAATTACTAAATATAAGATCAGAAATAATTTCTAAATGCAGACATGAAAACAAATACCTATTATTACAATTTATAACAAACGGATAAAAAAATACCAACCAAACTACTACATAGACTATGAACATGAAAAGAGAAACTACTGACACCATAACACCATCAATTATTTTCTAGTTCAAACTACCAGCATAATAATTATAATTATTGTTATTACCATTCCATCACCATTGCTACAATCACTTCTACCATTTTACAATAACTATTTGCTGCTACAATTGTTATTACCATTACCCGCTCCCACACCATTACTACCGCACCACAGTTACCATTATCGTATCAGTCCACAATTATACCCCCCAGCAAAGTTAAAAGCATCGCATAAATACTAATAAGTATTATAAATTGGAATTTCTACCATTTACATAAGCGCAATCGCCCAAAACAAGCAAATAACCGGCTTTAAAATAATAACAATACAGCATTAAAAAAAGTAAAAATTAAAAATAGCAATTTTTACCTACTATAGTGTTGTGTATGATACACCTAATTTACATAAGTGGAGTACCGACCATATAAATATGGGTTGGTACCGGAAGACGAGGGAAGATTAAGAGATCGAATCCAGAGACTCTGCCCGACTGCGACTTAGTCAACCCATTCTGCAGGAACAGTCTTCCCAAGAATATACCAAAACTACCTGTAAATATTGTGTACCTTTTTTCATTGTTTCAATACATTTTGTTACGTACATTTTGTGTTGTATTATTATTATTCCATGCTTATTCAAGCTTCAACATATAGTCTTACACAGAGTCCATCATAAAAAAAAAACAGACGGATAGATGTGTGAACGCGTGTGCATACGTATGTATGTGTGTGCGAGAAAACATTTATTCCACGAACAAAATAGACGAACGGTTTGCCCGTTGACATTGCGACTGACGAAAGGTGTTCGCTACACGATCCAACATTGAATACAGCGACCAATTGCGTATGTATGTACGCAACGACACATCGATGTGTTCCAACTGTTCACATATGTTTATGTTTGTGCGAGCTGCAATGCGTGAATGTGCGTGTATGTATGTCTGCGTAGGTCAATGAGTGAACGTGCGTGAATGTGTATGTATGGTTGTGTACATATGATGGCGTTCCGACGACAATTTTACCCACACTACCATAACACCGATATAAGCAACCATATATAAATCCAAAATTTGAAAATTAACCAGTTTGTCTGACGATCGCAAATAGCATGAAACCCAAGGTCACAAACTCACATCAATCCAACTATATATATATATATATATATATATATATATATATATATATATATAAATTATTAGGGGGATTAATCATAATTAAGTAATTCACCGAGTCTAGAAGAATCCTCAATTGAATGCAGAAGCACTGGACGCCCGTTTCGTTCTATCCTGAGAATCGAACCCGACCCGTTACAATATATATATATATATATATATATATATATATATATATATATATATCAGGATATCCCATGAATAATGTAAAAAATATGACATCGACAGAAGGAATATTGACATTTGTGTAAAATGCTTAAATGCAAGTATACCTCTACGTGTTCGTACAATTATAGTCGAATACATTAGATCATCACATTAGGTTACGTCACCAAAGTAAGATTCAACTTCTTCCTTTTATAGATGAACGCGTGTCTAGCATAAAAGTTTGGGAAAAGTAATAATACTGGAAAACTCAACCAAAATATTCTTAGTCTTTACTGGATAATGTCATTAAATAAAAGAAATTGGTGAAGATGTTTTGAAAGGTTTCTTTATGTCATCCTGTTGAGCTTTTAATGCTGACTTAGTTTTAGTTGAACTCAATCTTTTCTATTTGCCCTTTCGATTGAAGAATTGGCTCAAAAATTCCTCATTCGTTTAGCATCATTTAAAACAATTTCCTAAGGTGCCTGAACTTGCAAAATAGATCCCCTGGGGGTTAGGATTCAAACCAACTAAAAAACAACAACGAGCATCTGCACTCTCATGAATCTATCTCCCGCTTTTTGGACAGATTAGTGATTGGTGATTAAAAATGAATATTTTCCTTGTCTTTAATAGACTAAGACCGTTTCAAGTAGTCACATGGCCCTAATATTATTCACTTTTTGGTCATTTGTGTTCTTGCTAAGAAAGCGAATAACAGAAAAATATCAATAAAAACCTGAGAAGTCCGAAAACTTCATCTGCCGAATCCTAAAAATGATAATCGTGTTGAATATTTTTTTTAAATATTTAAGCTCATCTGCTGTTTCAATGTAAATTAAATATTTGTGCTTGAATTAATTAAATTACTCAAAAGAAAAACATTTTTTTTTCAAACAAAGTCAAAATTCATTTCTTGAAAGTCGTTACCTTCATCTTCACGTTTTGATTTTATTTGATCAAAAGTAAAAATGTTTTTTGCCAGAATCAAGAAACTGCTTCCAGTCTTAAATGCCGCTTTGATTATTGTTTTTTAGACAAAAAGAACTTTTGTAATGATAACTTCAGATATTCATTTATTCGTGCAATTATAGGTGAATGTTAATTATACGTGTGTGGACCAGAGGAAATGATTTTGTGTGTGTGTGTGTGTGTGTGTGTGTGTGTGTGTGTGTGTGTGTGTGTGTGTGTGTGTGTGTGTGTGTGTGTGTAAGCAATATAATTCATAACAGAAAGCTTTTTAGTCATCAACATTTCTGGCTATAATCGCGTTACTCTTCATCGTTACTGCCATAACATCTGGTAACATAATTAATTATTAACAGCTCCACCTCCTTCCTTCTCTCTCTCTCTCTCTCTCTCTCTCTCTCTCTCTCTCTGTATGTTTGTGTTTAAGGAGTTGATGTATGTTTAACTTTGGTAAGTTGATTAAAAGCAGAAGGACAAATGATGCCATTCCGACCTTGCAATGCTTGTCTGACATTATATAACAATTTTTTTCCCGTCTGTCGGTAAGAAGCAAATTCAGTCGGTGTGGTTGTTACTTTGAGCTTAATTTGATGCAACTGATATTATCTTAAAATAAACGGGATTTCAAACGCGAATTTGTGTATTTATTATACATATCCTTACAGAGTAAGTGTCTATAATTGATTAGGTTTTGTCTAAGGGGATGAAACTATAGATTCTTGCGTGAAAAGCAAGTATTTATCAGCATATATTAAAAATAATCGGGATTTCCAAGGAACAGAAATGAATTCTTTATTTTTGAATATAATCAATGTAGGATCAACTAATGTCTTTTGTAAATCACATTTCAAGAACTGTTACTATATACCTGAATAAACCAATTCTCGTTAGGTAATGGTTAACGAGACACTTAATTCTGCATAGTAAATTCGTTCATTGTTGAATACTCCGCATTTATGGTCTTGTATAGATAATATCCGACCCATGGAGAGTTTTAATAAGATAACAGCAATGGTAGCGGAAATTGTGTTACCTTCAGGTCGCCAAATATTGTTTTACCCACGGATATAAAAAGAAAAGTATATTTAGCGGCAAGGCATTTCGCCTTTTCAACAAAATTTACAATGTTTTTCAAATTTGCATGGACTATTGTCTTGTATGTGTGTGTGTGGGCGTTAGAGAGAGAGAGAGAGAGAGAGAGAGAGAGAGAGAAACAGAGAGAGAGAGGGAGAGAGAGAGTGAAAAGAGAGAGGGTGAGCGAAATGGAGGAAGATATTAGCTACAAAGTCTCATCCGAACTAGAGCGCTTCAGGGAGTCACCAATAATGGCTTTAAGAGAAAATTCTCCAATCAATCATTTATTTTGTGGTTAACGCCCACAGAAAGTCAAAATGTTCAACTGGTTTATTCAACTTTGGGCGAGAAAGGAAGAAGCTTGCGTCGACGCTCATTTTGTCTCTATATAACGTTTGCCTTTTTGCAGTATGAACCCTTTCCTTTGTTTTATTCTTTCATTCGTTCTTTCTTTCTTTGAAATAATGTCTTTACATAGGTTTCTTTTTTAAAATATGCATTAATTCCGATGTCTTCAATTGATCGAATGACGTTTTAACAGACAAATTGAAATGGCGGTAAAGCAATAATCAGTTGACTAAATACTGTCCACTGATTTCATTCGTCGATCAAATGAAAGTCAGTTTATTGATTGAATGTTTCTTTTAAAAAAAGTAGTTATATTCTTAATCATAGCATCATTGATAACAAAGAAAAAATTACTGACTAGGAAGATACGATCAAAATACTGAAAAATGATATGTAATATGCTTCTTAAAGTCTGTACGTTTATTGGATTTTAAAATTACACTCGGAACATTAATGTTACTCCAGTAATTTCGTGTCGATTTTTAATGGAACTACTTGAAAAACGTCTTCTTTATAACGTCAATAACTGATTACTTTAGGACATCATGTGTAAAGACATTATCTTATCGCATTGTGTCTGCACAATCTTGACATTTTGGATTCTTATATTTTGATAGGCTTTATTAATCGAAACATTATATCTTAATCACATGAGATAAACAGGATCAAAACTAATATTTCGTCCGTCCTGGGTATGACGATAAACTACCTCCAACAGAAAAGCCTCTCATCAGGAGGTTCTGAGGAGCGTGGAACCACCTCCTAATTGCTGACGTTCCCAGGTCCACCCTAACCCGTTAGGGTCCCAGCTATGGGCAAATAGTTAACCCCAAAATTGGGGTCAAAACACTATGAAAGTGTAAGAATAGTAAGAATTTGTAATGTAAGAATTTGTAAATGTTTTGAAAAAAAAATATTACCAGCGAAGGAAAATTCTTACCAGAAATATATTTTTGAAGGAAAAAATATTACCAGAAATATATTTTTGGAAAAAAATATTACCAACAATGAAAATTTTGTCGCCATTAAATAACCCATTGAGGTTGATATGTCGTAAAACAAACCAAACCAACATTTCGTTTGGTGAATTGATAAATATGTAGATATGTATTTTTATTAATATAAATGCTATTTTAGTGGATGCACGTATTTGAGTTGTTATCCCTGTTTGTTTTTTTTATTTTTTTTATTTTCTTAAACAGTGAAATAAATAACAACCAACTTAGATTGAGAAGTTCTACTAAAGAATGATTTTATCTCCGAAAGGAAGCGAACCTGTATCCGCTTTTCCATCAGGTTTCTATAGCTGGAATGTACCTTTACTAATTCGGCTATGGAGGCTGCGTTGATAGAGCAAGGTTTGAATTACTTATTTAAGGAATGCACAATTTTTCTCGTTGGAACTTTTACGAATCTTTATCTGCTAGCTTCAATTTTGTACTCGAAACATAAATTATTGTAATTTTTGAATGGATTTTTTATTCGACATTATTTCTTTATAAATATGTATTTATAAAATCAGCAATTCCTCTGTGAAATAATATATACATAGTAAATAAAGGGAAAATTTCTATCCCGGAAGTTAACGAGACAACTTGAATAGCCATTTTAAGCAGACAATTTGAGCAGCCATTTTTGGCAGACGACTTTAGTGGACATTTTGTGCTTGTGACTGGCAAACAAATAAACCGACTCTATCAGGCCACTCGAGATTCTGTTTTGTGCTGAAATACATGTTAATGATCTGATCAAGTAAAACGTTTCTTTCTTTTCTTTTTTAACTTATTGATTCTGTAATGTCGTTAAACCTCTGTAGACATATGATCAATTTTTAGTTTGAATTGGACGCGTAAAAGATGTTCTTAATATTTGCTTATTTCATGAAAAAAAAGAAAAAAATCAAGAAGCTATTTTTTGTTTTAACATTATATTGAAAATAAGTCTATTTTTTATTTCTAGAAAAAGAATTTAATAATTTTATCATGTGAAATTAAAAATTTACGATGACTCTGTATCTATAAATAAATATCTAATGAATTATTCGCATTTGTTGAGACAAAATATTTTGCATGTCCAAGTTTAGTTAGGAAAAGCCTCCTTAACTGGTTATTAAATCAAGGCGTGCTATTTTCTTTTAGAAAAGACAGACTTCATGGCTTCAGGCTAGCATCTATAAATAAACTGTATATTAAAAGAGAAATATTAAATTTATAGTAATATAAAGGGTAGAATTTATTTCAGTGAATTTTTATCTTTCTCAATTTCTTCATATCTATCTATCTATCTATCTATCTATCTATCTATCTATCTATCTATCTATCTATCTAATATGCAAACGTTTTCGCTCCGTTTATTAAGTAAAACGGAACATAGTTAAACTTTATTGAGTCACATATTTACCGTTTTTTCCAATATCTTCTGTCATTTTTCAAGCAACTTCATAGCCTCCTGCATGAATTTTCTTTATCTCTCTCATGTAAAAAGTACCTTTGAAAGCTTCCTTTTATAGTATTTGAGGGAACTGATTTTAAATAAAAAATGCATAATGTGCTAAAAATTTTACTTTTACATTTTTTCTATTTTCAGTGCTAGAATCAATAAACAAAAATGATCTGATCTGACTTTTTAAATGAAAGCTGATCTGACTTTGAATCCCATTCTTTTTTCTCAGCTTCTTTCACTCTAACTAACCTGTTGCGGCTTAGTGGCTTTATCACCTTGTTTGGGGTGATAGGATAAAGAAATGATAGATGTCCAAACAGAATTAAAAGCCTCTTTTTCAATATAGTTAAAAGTAAATGCTCATAATGCCATTTTAAGCGACTCACTGTCTATTCAAGGAAATCTTTATGTATTTATCACTTTCTCTTTTAAAAAGTTATTATATCCATACCTCAACCGATAGTTGCTTTCATTATCTTGAAGTTTAACTGAAATATTTCATGTTATATTTTTATGGCTACCCGTCTGTCTATATATTAATGAATGTAATATGAAGAAGTTACCTGGGTCAAGAGTTAACATTAACAGATTTTAATTTTAAATATCTACGATGAAGCAGAAGCTTGAAAATGAAATGAAAACAAAACATATAAATAGATATTCTACTGATTAATATCTTGAAATAGCCGTCTTATTTTTATATTGTTTACTTTTATATTGTACTCAGAGATTTAGTGTTTTGTTTCTAACTTCAAAGCATGATTCTAATGAGTAAAGTATGTGTAATGAACAATTTTTGCTCTTTGGACCAGCATCTGGTTATGATTGAGATGTAGCTTCCTGGCTGATCGATGTGTCTGGATACAGAAAAATTGCGGTGATCGGAAAGTGACCCCATTGTCGAAGATATACGGACAACGAGAAACAGTTGTCAGATTGGGTTTCCTCCTCGTAATGCTGATCAGAATGTAATGCTGCTGTCAACTGGCAATTTTTGTTGCTCTTTTTATGGAGCTTGAACTCCTCTATCCTGCCAGGTGAATTAAGAAAGGTCAGAAATCACAGTTCCCAGCCCACACTCGTCCCACACTCGTCCCACACTGAAGTATTTGGGTTGAAAGTGATTGGAAACAGGAATTGAGCTGCTATTCACAATTAAAGGGCCATTCTTCAATTCCCAGCTTGTTTAATGAGCATCATCGTATATCGCTACACCATGAAAGCATTTAAGAATTTAAATTATTAATATAATTCTATTCCTCCTGCCTGTTTGATCACACAGACTGGATAAATAAAAGCATCAAAACAACATTAAAAGTAACAATATAAACAAAAGACAATTCATTCAGTGATTAATGAAAAAATTTTAAAATGTTTGTTTTATCCCTGTTTGATTTGGCGCTAATTAATTTCACTAATTATTAAGCATGAAAACAATTGATTTCTTAGTAAATCTTGGGTCAAAAATGTCTAAAGGTTTCAGAGAAACGTCTTCTATTACTGAATAAACACTTATCAATTATTATTCTTATGATTACTACTATATTTATTATAGTGATAAAATTTCAGATAGATAAATAGAGAGACGGGGGGTAAACTTGTACAAAAATGATTCAAATACATTGGAGACGCGCTTAATTTGGATATTTAGAAAGCGCTTGTTTCGCGGGCTAAATTTTCACAGTTCGATGAGTTCGATTATACCTTAATATTGCATTTTTTTTTCATTCCAAGCGAGGCGACACTAGTACGGAGGGTGTTAAAGAGAGTGAAAGTGAGAGAAAAGACTGAGTATCGAGAGGATTGAGAAAAGGAAATAAAATAAATGCGATTCAAGAAGATAGAAGATGGCGATTGAGGTTACATTTAAATTTCTGAAGATTGTTGTTATCCTGGAAGCAAGAAAATGGAAAAGAGTTCAACAGGTGAGAAGTGTAAGAAAAGAAACTGCTGGGGTAGAAGTGGTGGCTGTATTTAACTACTTCAACAGTAAACGGGTGGGACCTAGATGCCAATCTAGCAGCACACTTAAATTCATGTAGTTGGAGCAGCATGGAAAAAAGCTCGTTAGGGCAGTTGCCATGAAAATATAAGTAGAAAAGACAGAGGTAAGCCACGGCGTGTCGGTGAGAAAGTGACAGAAGCCAAGAAGCATAGTCAGGATCGATTATATTACGGATCCTTCTTTGGATTTTGTCAAGAACCTCGAGATAAATTGCAGGAGCCCCAGACCAGATATGGCAGCAGTATTTAATGCACGGACTAATTGCGCGTGATTAAGCCATTTTCTAAAAGTTAGAAAAGAATCATTCAAATTTACTGCTTTCTTCGAACAGCTGAACACCTACCGTGTATTGCTACTGCACCACTTCGGCTGTTTCATTCTATAAACTTTTCAGGTGCAAAATTCATAAGGAATGAGAGGATTGGTTACATTTCAAAAGCAATGTTTTTTTTAACGTTTACTCGTATTTATTTCACAATGATTTCTATTTTGATTTTTATCTCAATTCTCTGATAGTTATTCTGCTATTGTCTGTAAAATAAGTAAAGAATTAGCATCCAGTAAGATTCGAACCAGCGTATTCTTTCCTCGAGAGCCTACAATTCCGTGTCAGCTGCCTTAGTTATTAAGCAATGAAGCTTTACATTTTTCCTTATATTTCGTCAAACTCAGGACGTGCTACCAGATTTGTTAAATGTCTACACATTTGTGTAGTACTAGTAATAATATTAAATTTAATATTAGATGAAACATTGTGAACAATTATTCTTTTTTGTCTTGTGTTTCTTTCATGTTATTTTTGTTGCTTTCTATCATAAATTTCTTTATTGTTTCTTAATAACAAACGTCGGTGACTGGGGGCTACAATAAAAATCAACTGGAATTAAGATGAAAGAAATCCAAGTCAAAAACGAACAATAATTCACAATGTTTTCATCTATTTCAAAATGAAATTAAAAAGAAAACTATTAGATATTATGAGATTGTTGTATATTACCCAGCAAATCTAAAAGCCAGTGATCAAGTTCAGGTAAAGGCCAGTATTTCGAATACCAAAGACAAGAAATATTTTTTAATTGTGGCATTGACGTAATGTAATCTTCTTTCTCTTTTAGCCTTAGCAAAGTTTATTAAATCTCTGTCGAGTCGACAAATTGACAGATCTGAACAGATTAGAATAAAGAGATAGGACATATGTCAATAATTGGGCTTATTCAGAAGCAAACATTTCATTTTCATATTTCAATAAAATTGAAATAAAATGCTATTAGAATATAAAGATAATGTTGTAAAGGAAAATAAAGGTAAGCTTGAATGTAAGAGCGACAATTAGCAAAAACTGGCAAGTCACCAAGGCATTACAATCTGAGAAATGACGGAATCGTTATGAAAGCTCACACAACAAGGGAGAATATGAAAAACGAACCGAAAAGAAAAAAATGTTTTATCTATCAATCATTAAGTTCTGAATTTTGAAATATTGATTCTTTTTGTTTTTGTATTTTTCATTTTTCTTTCTTTCTTTCTTTCTTTCTTTCTTTCTTTCTTTCTTTCTTTCTTTCTAAACCTTGTTACTATTTCTGCTACTAAATGCCAGTTGTTGAATAGACATAATTATTAACTGACAATCTTTTATTTTTATGCCCCAAAAGAAGGGAAAATATCAGCTGTTAAAAAAACCAACTTTTATTCTATTTTCATACGATTCAATTGAACATAAAAGACAGGACGATGTTTTCTTTACACTTTCATATTTCATCTGGGCGTGGTCAGAATAGAGAAAATAGCATAGAATAAAAGAGGGTCCCTTTGAAACTAGATTCACTGAAAGGACTATTCAATTGAAATCCGTTGTAAAGAGCAAAGTAAACAGTTTTAGGGTCAGATAATCGAATTCAGGTTTCCACATTTTTAGTTCGATAAAAAGATCCAAGAACCTCTTTTATATAATAGTCATCTTAGAATGTTTAGTGAACTCTCACAAAGATAACAGCATTTTTTCAAATTTTTATTGTATTTTCTTTTTGACATTGGGAGAGGGACAAATGCCAAAATAAATAATAGTTCCTGATTTCATTTCAAATTCGAAAACTTTAAAATGGCTTCCACTAAACTTAGATATGCAATCCAAAAGCCGTTCCATCAAATGTAACTTTTTCCCCTAAATTGGGGCTTGAATGACATTTTATCGATTTACAGAGCAGAAAAAGTAAAATTCTATTCGTGGAAAGAGAATAAATAAGACATAATACAAGATGAGATAAAAAGAGTAACTGTCAAATTATTAATAAGTGAGGCTCAACTGTGTAAAATAAAAGTATCAAATGGATTTTGGTCACATTTCGAGAGATACATGAACCCGTCTAGGAGAATATATCGGAGACATGAGACACAAAAGTTGCTCCTTCGTTTTAGCAAGAAATCTTCAGGAAAAATCCGTAGTAAAAGCAAAATATTATTTTAAGGAAAGAAGTTTTTTGTCTTACAATTAATCAATATGGCGTCTTTTTTCAGTAATTTAGACAATTTGAGTCACAAATCGAAAGGAAATTTGACCTCAAAGAGACAGAAACATATAAGCACAAATCGTGACTTCGTGGAGGCAGAGAATTTGGAAAATGTGGATAATTGGAAAATCCAAGTAATTTGACAATGAAAATAACTGAACAATCTTGGTAACTTGACAATGTAGGTAATTGGAAAAAGCAAGAAATTGACACAATGGGACAAAGTAGGTACCTGAATAATATAAGTAATTGGACAATTTAAACAATGTAGGTAAGTTAGTAATAATCGCATTTGGACAAGGCAAGTAACTGAGCATTATTTGCAATTAAACAATGCAGGCATTTGGTAAAGTGAAGAAATTGAACGATATAAGGCAATTGTCTTAGGAATTGACACGGATTTCTTTCTTCTTCTTTTTTTTTCCAATTCTCGATAATTAAGCGATTAATTCTGAAATGCAATTTCATTTTTGCGATTTTTGAATATGTTAGATGAAAACACGCTTGCCATCTATGGAGACGCCCAGTGCGAAACGAACACATGACAATTTTAATTGCAGATTTCATAAAAGCTTTTGTTAAACACGGCTTTATGAAAAGTAACTTGGTACTTATTTTATCTAGGAGGTAAAATTCTAGATTTATGCTTTACAGAATTTTATTCATTTGTTGCAAACATTGTTTGAATTTCTTAATAGAGCAAACATTTTTCTACTCGGAATTACCTCAGGATTTCAAGGAATGACTTTATTTGTTTTCACCTAGCAATCTAGTTGGGGTAATGTTATTTTTTAAAGTGTTTGAAGGAAATCCCCGGTAAGTGAGATAATTCTGCGTAATGCAAAATAAATAAAAGGAAGAAAGGAACAAAGCACGCACGCACACACACACATATATATATATATATATATATATATATATATATATATATATATATATATATATATATATGTGTGTGTGTGTGTGTGTGCACACACACACACACACACACACACATATATACACACACATACACACATATGTGTGTGTACAAAGAAGAAAAAGTTCGTCACCGATTATATAGCGACAACAACAGATAGGACTAAATATGGTGGCAGTAAAAGAAGGAATAAAACTAATTTTCGCATCATGAGTTGTTTTAAAAAACTCTCAGTACGTTTAATCATAATTAATATAATATGCAACATGTAAAAAGCAGAAGCAGTAACATTTTTATTAACGTCAATGGAAACAAACTAACCACAATCAGATTTCTCAAATGATCGGATATGAATTAAAAAAAAATGAGGGTTGGATAATCACTAAAATTCACCTAATTCTTGAGAGACTTGTTATTTCCAGAAATCCTCTGTCGCCTGAAAATATATGCAGACAATAATGACCCGAACTTGCCACCCTTTTGCAGGTTATTGGGAAGGGAAAATGACTTAAGCGGTTTTTGAATATCGTGTCTGACTTAATACCTCAAAGGATTATAATGAAAGCTAAGCCGGTTTGATCTTCACAATTGTCAACTGCTTACTGTCGGATGTGTAAGTATTGGTTGCAGTTGGTTAACGAATAGAAATAAATGAAAGGAAAGGGTGGTAAAATGACGATGACATTGGATGCTGATTGGTTGGTTGAATGCTTCATCAGCTCTCAATACCTCATCACGTGACCACTTTAAAGAAATGGCAGCTTATTCTCTTGGACGTGTTCCATCTTTTTGTCTATATCCTCCTGAGTTCTTTCTTTTTTTCTTTGCCTAAGTACTTTTCTTCTTCCTTGTTATTTCTCATTTGCTTTCTCGTTTGTCTTTCTTTTCTTCTTTTTCTTGTTCTCCGTTCTTGTGTTCCTTAATCTTTTTTCGTACTCTCTCTCTCTCTCTCTCTCTCTCTCTCTCTCTCTCTCTCTCTCTCTCTCATATAGTTTTTTTCTTACCTCTGGCCGATGTTTTCTTCTGTCCCTAATTTTCCATCGCAATTGTTTCTCTTCATTTTAGGTTTTCTTTACTTAATTTTGTTATTTTTAGATTTCTTTATCAAAGTTCTTTTCTTTCTTCTTTCTATCATTTTTTTCTGTTCTTTCTTTCCTCTTCCCTTTCTTATCTTCCTTCTTTCTTTTATTTCTTTTCGTCTTTTCCCTTCTCTTTCACAAATCTCTCTTTATTCTGCACTTCTTTTCTCTTTCTCCCATTTACTTTCGCGGCATCTTCTTCCCCCACACACATACACTCATATATCCTTCATATTATAGTAACATCATTAAACCGAGACTCGATCTCATGTCAAGTGTTAACCAATGAACAAGGTAACCAAATAACGAAGACAGCAACAAACCATTTGCTTCGTGTTTAGCTTAGAGACGAACAATCAGTCCGCATTGCAGCAGTCGTAGGCGTCAATCGTTTCTGATTAAAGGCGTGCGTTTTAACTCTTCATGCGCGCTGGATTCGTACAAAAGTTGATGACAAGTGTCAACGACTCTGTCCATAAGTGGTTTAGCTGAAACGAAACTGAAACAGCGTTAATAGCTGAAATTTGTTACTGGACGGACACTCTGAATGCGCTAAGTCAGACCAACGTCTCCATATATTTGTATGCTTCTGCGTGTGCATGTGTTTTGTAAGTATTCATGTCTGCGATTGTGCAGGTGTAAACTTCAAAGTAAACCCATATAAGAAGGCATTTATATACGCATGTCTAATTATGTGTTCGTGTTGCTTTTTATTAGTTACCGTTACATTATGAATAAGCTTACAATAATTACTGTTAATTGACGAATATCAAGTAAAATTTGGTGACATTAATTAACTCCAGATATGTTTCCAATGCTTCCTTCCCAATGTTAAAACGAACTAATTATGGCGAGTCATACTGAGGGTTAATGCACATGCAGGTTGCAGAAACGGCAACACCTAAACTCAACGTCCCTGTTAAAGCAGAGTGCTAAGAAAATTATTAAATGTAACATTTTCTAAATGAAATTTATTTTGTTCTGACTGCAAAGATTCTAACTAAAAGATCAAGCATTTAAAGAGCAAAATTCAGGAACATTTTAGTTTTAACGATAATATTTATTAACCTTAAGATATGAAGTATTCATAAAATAAATATATATAGTTAATATGTGTAAAGATAACAAAAGTGAAAAATAGTAGAAAAATGCAATAAAACATTAGAAAAGATTTATTTTCGAATAATGATGATTATTTGAAAAATGAAATGTTCAAATAGCGAGCAACATTTCCAAGAAGTTAATATAAATTTTGTTCACAGTTCGGTCAGATATGAAGCTAAAGTGCGTGGAGTGAATAAAGCTCTTATATTGTCAACGTGTATTCATTAAACAAACATCATGGAAATTCTCTTTGGAACAAATAAAAAATGCAAGATATAAAACATAAAGAAATCGAAAACAACTGACCTATTCAAATAAAACCCCTCGGAGGGAGTCTAGATTTTCTGATTATTACGTACTGGAGATTAAGAAAAACATTTGGCGCATTATGGTTTTAAATACTAACTAATGATGACGTCACGGTTTCCAATGGCAACGTCAGTTATAAAACAAGGGAGTTAATTTAAATGTTATTGTCATCATCACGATTGGAATTAGACTGATTGTTTAGGTGAATGGAGCATAATAGCTGTATACATTTTTACGCACTCGCATGTATAAATATGTGTATACATGTGCGTTTGTGTGCTTGTACATGTACGGGTATGTGTATGTGTGAATAAAATAAAACAAACTTTTTCTGGCTATTGTGCTATTTTCCCAGCAGACTTTTGTTAGTTTTCTTCTTCATTTTTGCTCGACGTTGAGACAGATTCTAAAGAAAATTCTAGAATAGCTAGATGCCCAAGGGAAAGAATGATCGTTAGTGAAGTTTTGAAAAAGGAGAATGAAGTTTTTTTTTATTTTATTTTATTCGTTTGTTCTTATGTAATTGTACTGTTCGCAATTCATGACCAAAATGCATTGACTTTACTTTCAAAAGTTATTTTGCATTCCACTAGTCATTATATTGAAGAACATTTATCGTTAAGACTGGAATGTAGTTGACTAAACTAGTCTTAAACCAATGACCAATTCCATGTGATGCAGAAACCTTGGAAAATAAGAGCAACAATTTTACACCATTTAATTATCAGCAAATCTTAGACAATGATGAAGTCGATCGCAAGAAGGAGAATAATTCGGAATCCGAGCAATCCGATGGTGGTGAGACAAAAAAAAAAAATAAAATAAAATAAAAAAAACAATTCAAGAGTTTATTTTCTGTTTTTAGTGTTCGTAAAAGAAAAATACAAACCAAAAAATGTCTTTAAAGTAAGGAAAAAACTCTTAATTCTCTTTTGAATATTGTATAAAGAGAATGTAACAATAAAGTTTGAAGAATAATGGGAATGAAATAATGTTTCTTTATCATTCAATACTGGATCTTCAATAAAAAATGTCAAAATTAGATCTTGTTTTATTAAAATGCTTCCTTGCTTAATATTTTCTCCCAGAGGATTGACTTCAGTTTAATTCTGTTAATTTATTTCGGGTCATCGTAATTTGTACTTCCTTTCCTGTGACCATATTTCTATTTCCATCGTCTCAATTCCTTATGCGTAGAATATCATTCCCACTGCTTGTTGTGCTATCGATATGGAATCACCTTTAACAATATTACATTGGTTGCCCATAGCAACGTCTCCTTTTGGTAGGGTTGAATGTGTTTATGCGACGAGAAGGGAGCAATAATTAGTGAGCCTTTTCTGTGTCGGCCATGGTGAATATGCTACATGATGTCAACTGAGGTGAGCATGCTTCAGTGAACTGGTCGCAGTCGGTTAGCGAACAGTAAAAAAAGAAATTGGAAGATCGACTGAGTCATGTTTATGAAGAAGAAGAAAGCAGAAAGGAAGGAAAAGGAGGAAAGAAGGATTTGAAAGGAAAATAAGAAAGAAGTAAAATGAAGCATCAAAAAGAAGGAATGAAAAAGAAAAGACAAATAAATAAAAAGATAAATCTAGATAGAACGAGAAAGAAAAAAAAAAGAAACAAAATAGAAAACGATGGAAATAATTCAAAAGCTGAAAATAGAAAGAAAATTAAAAACGGAAATGCAAGAAGAAACTGCGAAAGAAAATGAAGAAAAACTAAAAAGAGGAAGTGAAGAAAACAATAAAAGAAAAATGAAATAAAAGAAAAATGAAGATTGCAACTTCGTAAAAAAAATGATTGCGAAAGTAACACAAAGTTTTGTTTTTTTTCTTTTTTCTTTTTCTTTCTTCCTTATTTTTATCGTCTGTTCTTTTTAGACTTCCGGTAACGACTTCTTTTAGCCGCGATTTATTTCACTTATTGGTGTAATTCGTTCAGTGAGCGTACGTGCATCTGAAAAACAAAAAAATAACATAATAAATATATGCGAATTATTGTTGGACATTTGCGCAGGCGTGTGTTTGTTTGTGAGTGTGTGTGTGTGTGTGTGAGTGAGAGAGAGACTGAAAGTTCATATATCTGTTTGCAGTTGTGTACGCTTGCTCGTGTGTGAGAATATGCGTATGCTTGTGTTTACTTGTATTTATTTGTGTTTATGTATCTGTGTGTCTTTATGTACTTGCATGGACAGGAGCTCGAGTGGTAAAAATGTTTGCTTTTCGACTACGAGTTCTAGATTCGAATCTCACCAGGGTCAATTTGTTAAGAAGAGGACTTAACGATTTGTGAAAACCAGAGCACGGCTTTGCCCCAAGGTAAATTGGGTAGAGACAGAACTGCCAGTGATTCTGTCAGCAAGAAGTTCCATGTCATCGTGACCGGGGGTTTGTTCAAAACAGTTGATCACGCCAAATTAGATGCTTTCTCCCAGAAACTGTAACTAATGTCCGCTCAGCATAGTTGCAGTATAAAACACAGTTTGTTTTTTTGAGTTTGGGACAAACACAAATGTGCCTGTGCAAGTGACTGTAACAGGGATTAGCTAGCCTCTATAGCAGTGCTCGGAAACGAGTTACCGGCTATTACTACTACTACTACTACTACTACAAATATTACTACTACTACTACTACTACTACTACTATTATTATTATTATATGTGTGTGTGTGTGACTGTTTATGCGTGTCCAAGTGTTTGCGTACGATTATATGTGTGCATGTGTGTCCCTATTCAGATATTTATTCTGTGGTGAAATATCGGCTTCAATTTAAACCAATTTTACAGATGCTGAAGCATTAAAGTCAACCACATTTTTAAATCAATCAATTTGTATCTTTTACACATTTCTGGTTTTATATTTACACAGTTTTATGCAGACACTTAACTTGAAGAGGAAAAAAACTCTTTTTCACAACACAATAGCTGTACACACACACGGGGTACGCACGCACACACACACACACACATATATATATATATATATATATATATATATATATATATATATATATATATATATATATATATAGTTCTAATTCCAGTCGAATTCATTACATTCACTTGCGTGCTAATACCCTTGGGAAAAGTATTAATCCCGTTCTTCTCCCTCCAGCTATAGGTAAAGCCTTGGATGGCAACTGGTCTAGACCTGAATTCAAAACCTGCAGAGGGTCGTAGTGCACCAGGTCTCTGTATTCGGCCCTTCAAAAAGTGGGGTTGGTTCTGAACAAAACCTTCTCCACTATAATCAAATCATATGTGCTAGTGTCTAGCTGTCCCAGGAACTGAGCTGCTTGACCCTCATACGTCGAATACGACAGTCCACCATATACATATACATACATACATACATACATACATACATATATATATATATATATATATATATATATATATATATATATATATATATATATATATATATATGTATGTTTATTCGAGCTGATATATCACCACAGAATCAAAAAGATGCAAAACGGATAATTTTAAAACTTGTTTAAGAATTTATAAAAAGAAAATCGTGAAAATAAAAAAAATATTGAAATGTTTCCCTTTTTTTATAATAACTTTGGAAAAAAGCAAAAGCTTATTTTGTGTGGAATTTCACAAACAAAAAACATCGTTTCTTCTTTGATGAAATATTTATAGGAACTGAGAATAATTGATTTTAATCTCCACTGTCCGAATTTTGATGGTTAATATTATATACATAACGATGACGATGTTGATGGCGGGATATATGCAAATGAATTTCGTATGCAGCCTCGTCGTAGATACGCTGTGGACAAAAAAGAAAATGCACAATTTTATTTAAAATGT